CTCTCAAATAAATAAATAAATAAATAAAATTTAAAAAAAGAAGTATAATGACCTATTAACTGAGAGCGCATATGTTGTGAAAATATTCTGTGTAATAGGTTCTACCATCCTTCACACAGTACTGAACTGCTTGCTGGGCAAAACCAAGACAGAGTGGTCATGCTTCATGATGTTTGCCAGACATAGTCCAATGAGAGGACATGACAGAATTTGACTGTACTCCAATACATTCATAAAGGCTAGCCAAACAGTATCTTTTCATAATGCACATTCAAGAATCTGGCATCTTGTTCCTCTCTCTAAATAGAGATTAGAAAACTATCTAGAGCTTTCCACATTAAATTATATATTACACACAGACACACACACACACACTCACATATGTATGTATTAGGATGGATAAAGGAGATACATTTTGAAACAAATATTCAACTCATTAAGTTTTGACAAAATCATCACCATGTATGTAATTCAGCAGTCCTTAAGCATTTTCCTAAACTCCATTCCTGCATCTTTTATTCTAGAATTCCCTAAACTAAAATATTTACTACTGAATGAGACAGACTCTCCCCCTGGTGGCAAAAATAGAAGGTGCCTTTGTTATATTGATGATGATAATTCTGTATTCCACAGCTTCTAAATTCTTAAGATTTACAGTTTCATTTCCAGGACACAAAGGTTGCAGGGCCATTAATTAGATCTCTTTAAGAAATTTCTCCATGTGCTCACTTTTTCAATTTGTCTATGAGTCTGGAAACTGTGGCTGAGTATTCATGAATAACTCATGATGGAGAGCAAAGTTCAGACCCATCCTTCCTACTGGGAGCCCCTGAGCCTGGGATTACACATTCCATCCTCCAGTGAAGAGGCGCCAGTGCTGGGTGCAGGAGTAACTCTGTATGTGACCTCTTCATCAGGGCAGTACAAGTGTCCATCATGATTATCACTGCATTAGTGCTGTTTATGTACTTTGGAATCAGAATAGGCCCACATGAGCCCTCACCTGTGATGCCACAGGGCAACTGTTCCGCGGTACTTAAGTGCTGTGTCCGTGATTGGAACACATTCCTGCAGTGTGGCATGGCACCTTCTCAGTTCGTTCACTGATTTATATTAATTTTTTGAAATTTTTATATCCATACCTTTTCATGAATAGAGACTTGATTCCAGTCTATTACAGTCTGTTCACTCTTCTGTTATGTTTAACACATATTCATTAAAAATATTGTTTTCTTCATTGAGTAATGGAAACAAAATGCAAAATTCAGTTTCTATAATAGAAAACTGTCAATTATGTTAGAGTATTGTATTATACAGTATTTCTTTTCTTTGAGAGACTTTCAGTTATCCTTTGAATTAGTCATTTCAGGTTTAGAAGGGATTTTATAGAGTTTAGATTATAATTCTTTCTTTAATTGCTATGTCGATCATTCTATTAAATTATATTTAAGAAGTTATATAGAATGACTGAAATTAAACTGATTAGGGTTACAGATGGGGAAGTGTATTAGTGTTTACTGCTCTCCAGTGAAGAACATCTTGTTCCACCATAGCAACGACTCTGATATAGTAAAAAGAATGGCATAAACTATTAAATGATCAGTTTACGGGAGACAATGTAGTTTTTAAAAAACTTGAATAAATGCTATATAACATGTCCAGACGTTTATCATGACACTGATTAGTGACCATGCAGAGAAATGTGTCCTTCTGTCCAACATGACTGTGGGTAATGGAGAAAACTTTCTTTAGGACATTGAAAAAAATACTGGACATATCTTTGGTGTTGAGCTCGGTGCTGGATCTCCATGGTTTAATAACCCTTAGTAGTTACTTATTGCATCACCTGAGAGTGAGGGGTTGTCTCTAAGTGCTGATGTGGAGGCAGCATAAAGGGTTTTGGGGGACCCTAGGCAACCACATTGAGAAGGGAAAGTGCTGGGCAGAAAGAAAATTCTCCCTAGGAATAAATGAACCCTCATGAAGATTTTGGAAAAGTATCATTTAAAGGATGTCACTGATACTAAGTTTAATATAATGGCAAATTATAAGGCTTTTAAGAAGAGTAAAACAGTCATTCATGAGGGAATGCCTTGGGCTCAAAGTTCCATTTTTCAGATTAAAATCCTGTTTATGGTCTGTCAGTGTGAGAATCCTAGACTTTCAATCATATAAGTCAACACCCTGCCTCTGCATTTCAAGAGTTATGAACAGTTGAAAACATCACAGTTCCTCTGCCAAGATGCTGTCCTATATTGCCATGACAAAGACGAAGGAAGCCTCCTTGATGAACAATGACATAAAGAAAGACATTTTTTTAATTGTTTCTGTTGCTTCTGCCAACTTCCATCTAATCGTGATTTTTAATCTTAAAGTCAAAGTGGTTTCACAGTGATTTTCTGTTGCTGGGACAGAAAATCCCAACATCCAAAACTTAAAAAAGAAGTGTGATTTGCTCATGGTTTCAGAGAATTTAGTCCATAGTGAACAAGCCATGAGGCAGAGCCTCATGTGCAAAGGCTGTGATGGAGAAAGGCTGCTTATTTCATGACTTCTGCGATGCAGAGCAGAGTATAGTGTAAGGGACTAAGGGGCGAGGACCAGACATGGACCATAAACATAAGGCTACATGACCCACCTGACTGTTCAATCTCCCCCAAATATTAATACCCATTGCCTCAGAGAATGAGGCTACTGGCACAATGATGTTTTTCTCTCCAAAGCCTACTTCACTCATTCATGGTTGAGGGTGATATTGAAGTTCGTACCATGGTAAGCTTGACTAGGATGACTGATCACACTATTACTATAGCCATCAAAAACAGTAGCAGTCATGAAAGCATTTCTTCAGGGATCACAGCATCTAGGACAGCATTAAGAGGATCCTCTGAAACTGGGATAAGGGTGTTATGGAGGAGAAGAATGCATCTCGGACAAGACATCCATTATGTCTGTTCTCATACTTGATACTTTCTGTTCTGTTAGTTGATGTACCACTTGAAATGCATTATGATTGGTAATTTGTAAATCATAGAAATTTCTTACACATCAGAGGGTTGCAAAGTCCCTGATATGATGGTCACAGTGTCTTTTTCAGTGATCCAATCTCTGATGTCTACATGATGTCCAGCTGATGTCTGCTCAATTGGCAGAAGACAAAAACTCACTATACTGATATGGTAGACAGAATTTCAAGTGATAATATCAGTCTTTTAAGTTCAGTTGCTATGACAGAAATTCCATCCATGAAGGAGAGGACTCATGGCTATTCATTTTTATAGGGGCACAATACTTACTACCTCCTCCTCTTTTTTAAGTTTCACCATTTACATTTTGGAGGCACACATATATTAAAACCAATGCAAGGAGACTCCCACCCTTCTGCACCTTTTTTATGATTGAAGACATTCAAGATAAGCTCCTCCCCCATTGCTTGTTGCGTTCACTGAGCTAGAGAAGGAGTCATGATGGCCTATTGACCATAGACCTATTTCTGTGCCTCCAGTATATAATCAACTTAATAGGAAATCTGAATCCATCAAAACCAATATTCACCAGTCAAGAAATAAATTTCATAGAAAATGTTTGTGCGTAGTGGACTCAATTCATTGTCTTCTCCTGAGTGAGATTTGGTGCTATTTTTACTTGAACCCTTGGTTTGGGCAGTTTATGGGCTAAAAGGACTGTATCACATTTTCTGGTTGGATGGTTTCACCTGTAGTCAGAGAACATGAAAGGGAGATGACATTTCAAAAATTAGCTTCTTCTGTAGATACAAAGCTTGTCAATGTAACTCTTTCTCATTTTGTTAAGGAGGGGCCATTTTCACGGCTCCACATGCATTGTATTTACACAATGCCTGGTTTCCAGATGTGAGTGTTTCTTTTGTGCATTCACAAGTTATTTCATAGGGAAGGTTCTTTAAAATATAAACCCCAAATAGTAAGTTCAAGTCTTTAAATGTAAAATTCAATCAGATTTTCCATTTGCAACATTTCCCTCTTTTGCCTCTAACAGTACTCTTTATACTTCATGTGATCTCTTTTATAGACTCAGGTTCTACTTTCTTAAAGATATGCAATGATTGCCTATTTCCACATTCTTATTGCCCACATCTGTGTTTCCTTTGATGAACTACGTTTTGGGAATTTCATTCATTTTACAATGTGTCATTGTATTTGTTGTTTTGATATTGTAGACTGCATGATCCTCTCTGTATATATGGAAATATTGCATTGCTCCCCAGGAGCTCAGACATGCACGATATCCGCCAGCCCTCCACCATTTCACTCTCAGTATGGTCCCCTCTGTGGTGCTCAAACTCTTCTGTAGGAAAGCAAGACGTGCCAGTGATTCTAGATTTGTCTGCCTTTCCTATATCATTGTACTTATTGAAGCTGCAATCTCATTTCTTTCATAGTCCCATAAAAGATGCTGAATTCCTCCTTTTTTTGTAGACTTGAAAAGACAGT